TTTTGTGTATAAATGATTGTACTTATTATTAATTATCAAGTAATCGACTCTTTACTAAATAATCAGCAACTGTTTCTACAGAACAATCGTTTATAACAAACATTTTTCTTACTATTAAGCCCTGTCATTTATAGCTGATAGACTCAAAATTCTTATTGTTATTGATGTAACAGCAACCACTTTAGCACCATAAGTACAAATCCAATCCATACATTCTTTACAACAGCATGCATTAATTTCGGTGTGAATAGTTCATGTGCCTATGAGTAATTCTGGAATGTCGTTCAATTTCACTTAGCCTGACCTCGCAAAAGGCTATCTCTTCCAGGCTAGACTGGACTACAGTTTCTGGCTTGTCTGAATCGGTTCCATCAGCAACTTCAGCGGGATTCGAGCTCGGCTCTTGATCCTCGTGGCGACGAGTGCCAGTGGAAAGGCCCAACTTTTAGTCCAACAAGCATGCAATAAATGGGCATTTTGCGGTCTACTTTTACAGATGAAAGGAAGAGAAGGTGTTCAAAAATTGAATAGATCTTGATAAAAGAAATGAGGGAAGCATCAAATATCCAAAAATTAACTGCCTTTAAATGTCGGCTTTTTCTATACCCTTCCACAACCACATCAAGACGAGAGGCCGGAAAAGATGAGTCCATAAATAAACCTCCGCCCTCCTGTTCAATGGGAAACGGGAACTTTTTGTTTCGGTATGTTCCCATAAGTGTTGAGTGGACCAAGCTCATAACTGGTTCCTGGATCGAGGCCCGTTGATGGTGCTGGCGCGAACTCGAGACGATTGAGGCGGCAGTCGACCCGCTTTTGGGCATCCCCAACGACGTAGGCTTCGCCTCACTTCATCGTGGGCCGGTTTAACTGTCGCGATTTACGACCTCACCAACGAGACACGGTGGGCAACTGAGCCAAGTTCGAGGCCCGGCATGCCTGGGGGAGGTTCCGGATGGCCGGGAGACGTTGTGGTGGGTGCGTCTGGAAGGGCTCCGATTGGAGGAAGTTGACACAATTCAGCAGTCGCTGTTTGTGCAGCCTCTCGCGGCTACGAGTCAGCCTCAACTATGAAGGTGAAAGCGAGGCCTTGAGACCTCCTTTTCTTTAGGTTTAGTGTGTTTTTGCCCTATTTCGTAAAGTAAGGATTCTTGCTCTGGTCATGTTTGTCTCGGTGGTACCGACGAAAGCTTAGCACAGGTTC